GGAAGGCTTACATGCATGTGGACATGGAGGTGAGAGATGGTACTATAAAGCCGTCAGATATTCCCAGAAGCATAAGGAGAAATAGAAAGAGCAAGGCTGGCCAAATCCATGGACAGAGGGAAATATACTCTATTCTCATCACTGTCACCCAGCCTCTGAGAGCCAGTACCATCCCAGCTCTATGTATCTTGCTTCACTCAGATTCTTGCTGGGTAAAATAGAATTTAGCCACCAGGGGTCTATTAATCCCACTGCAATCCCTTGTGTTCTGTAGGTTTATAAGAAAAATAAGTTAATTCCCATGATGGGCACTGGGACCGAGACTCAGGCCAGGGACTGTACAGGCAGGATGAGGACCAAGCCCAGGCAGGAATGGAGGAAGCCAGGGGGTGACAAAAAGCCTGACAGATGAGCCACAGAAACAGATTTGCTTTGGGTCCAAGGAGTCATCAGTCAAGGCTAGGATGAGGTGGGAAGCAAAAAAGCAAAGAAAAGTGAAAAGTTTTTGACAAATACTTTGTAATAATTCCATAGGATATCGAAGTGTTATCCTGGTTTCAAGGAATTATCCTACAGAATATGCTCTCTGATTAAAAATAAATAAAATCATAAATCAATAGCTATATATCTAAAAATCCCCAAATATTTGGAAATCAAATAAATCTAAATAGGTCATGCATCCGAAAAAGAAAGTACAAAGGAAATTAGAAAATATTTGAACTGAATCATAGTAAACATATAATATACCTAAATTTGTGAGATGCAACTAAAGCAATCTCTTTCTTTTTTTTGCATTGGTACCAGGGATCGAACTCAGGTCCTCGCACCTGTGCAGCAGACGCCAAGCCACAGAGCTAAATCCCCAGCCCATCTAAAGCAATCTTTAAAATAAGATTACAGCTTTCAGAGCTTATTTAGGACTGAGTGTGTAATTCAGGGGTAGAGTACTTGGATAGCATGTATGAGGCCTTTGGTATGATCTCAACACTGCAAAAAACCCCTTAGTTTTTAGAGAAAAAAGTCAACACATTAGCCATTGTTAACCACTATGAAACTGCAAATTAGAAACACAATAAAACATTATCATATAACTATTAGAACTAAAATTTAAAACACAAAATCACCCTGATAATGCCCAGTACTGAGGAGCAACTGGATCTCATACATTCCTGATAGGAATTCAAAGTGGTACACCTACTTTAAAACAAAAAAAAAGTTTAGCAATTTCTTTTACAGTAAATAGCTTTACCATATGACCCAAAAATATTCTTGTGTATCTGAGAGACATGAACATTTGTTCACACAACAATCTGAAAGGAATGGTTTTATTTCTAATTACTCAAACCTTAAAACAACCCAAATATCCATCAAATTGTAACTGGATAAAGAAGCTGTGGTCCATCTGTACAAAGAAATGTTAATAATCAATAAAAGGAACAAGCTACTGATATATACAAAACCGTAGATAAATCTCAAACACAGTGTGCTAACGGAAAAAAACTCAGACACAGAAGGCTACATATGACATTCTGGAAAAACACCACTGTGGAGACGGGAAATAGGTCAATAGTTAGGAGAGCCTGGAGGTGAGGGAAAAGACTGACTGCCAGGCAGAGGTGGTTTGGGGACGATGGACTGTCCTGTGCCTGGATTTGGGATGTGATTTCATGATTGTATGTGTTTGTCAAAGCTCACAATACTCTACACTGAAATATATTACTTTACTACAAGGTATATAAGCTATAACTCAATTTACAAAAGAAAAAACCCACAATGAGATACCAGAACCTGTCTACCAGAAGGGCTAAAACTCAGAAGGTTGACAAAACCAAGGGTGCCAAGGAGATACGTGAACTGAATTCTCATGTGTTGCTAATGGAAACACAAAATGGCACAACCACTTTGAAAACTTGGTAGTTTCTTATAAAGATAAATCTTCCCCTAGCACATAAGCCAGCCATTCCACTCTATGAGATTTTTCCCAAGATAAATGAAAGCATATGGTATACAAAGATCTGCACATAAGTTTTCATTGCAGCTTTGTTCATTATAGCAAATGTTCATCCCAACTCTTGAATAGATGAACAAATTGTGTAGATTGACAGTAGAATACTATTCAGTAATGAAAAAATGAAGTGCTGATACATCCAACAACATGGATGAGCATTAAAAACATTATACTAAGTGAAAAGATAGAAGCTGTAGGATTTTCTCTTTATTAAATTCTAGAAAAGGCAAACTATAGTGATAGAAAGAATAACAGTGGTTTCCTGAGACAAGACGTAAGGAGAAGGCGAGGTTGACTCTAACGGGCCACAAACAATCTTTTTAGTGATGGAATTGTTCTATATCTTGATCGAGGTAGTAGTGGTGGTCATAGAACTACATGTATTTCTCAAAATTCCATGACTGGCCCATCACAATGCTGCACACCTGCAATCCCAGATGCTCAGGACTCTGACACAGAAGGGTAACAAGTTTGAGGCAAGCTTGGGCAACTTAGCAAGACACTATCTCAAAATTAAAGGGGGGGGGCGGCGCTGGGGATGCAGTTTAGCACTACTTGGGTCCAGTACCAAAAAAGAAAAAAATCAGTGACAGTTAAAATTGCTTACAAATTATATTTCAATAAAGCTGACTTTTAAAAAGTAATCCCAGCACTCAGGAGGCTGAGGCAGGAGGATTGCTGCAAGTTCGAGGTCACCCTAGGTAACATAGCGAGTTCAAGGCCAGTCTGAACTACAGATTGAGACCCTGTCTCAAAAAACAAAACAACAACAAGAAAACCCAAAAAAAGAACTGACAAGAACCTATTCTAATAAAAATATTATAGTGTAAGCATATGTGTAAAAATAATCCTAAGAAATAGGGATATATAGAGACCTTCCTTAGAGATGGTGCTACAGAAGAATGGAGAAAGAATGTTTATTTTAATAAACAGTGCAAGAATGCATGGTCATCTACACAGGAAAAATAAAAATACAAGAAGCCAAAAGCACCTTCTACATAAAAATTAATTCTAATAATTATAAGAAGAATGTACAGGAGCCATTATTACAACCTTGAGAATGGAGGGAAAATAAACGTTATGTGTATGTTAAAGAAAGTCTAGTAGATTGGTGACACTAAGAGCAGTAAAAGTAACCACAAACGTACACATTCATTGACTGTCCCAAAGTGCCAGTGCCGTTCACAAAGTAAAGAAAAGCGCTTTCCACAAATGGTGCTAAACAACTGGGTGTCAGTAAGAAAAAGGAACCTCAACCCCTACCTCATTCTAATATTAATTTGACAGTCTTCTGTTTGTTTTTGGTACCGGGGATCGAACTCAGGTCCTTTCGCTTGCGAAGCAGGCAGCGGAACCACTGAGCTAAATCCCCAGCCCTCTAATATTAATTTGATTATTTCATTCAAATATTAATTTGAGATGAATCATAAATCTAGAGGTAAAAAACTAACACTATAAAGCTTCTAAAGGTGGGCTGGGGATTTAGCTCAGTGGTTCCGGCAACTGCCGCGCACAAGTGCAAGGTCACGAGTTCGATTCCCCGTACCAAAAAAAAAAGGCTTCTAAAGGCAACATAAGAGAATATCTTTTCAATCTTCATAGTACCTGAATTTTTAAGACAAACTATCACTGACCATAAAAGAAAAAATAAGTTGAATTTTACCAAACATATATAACTTTTTATTATAAAAAATTGGGGTTTTTTTCAAGTTTTGTACAAAAAAAATTGTTCTTGATCTTCTCTATTTTAGCTTTAATATAAATCTTAATATTGTTAAGAGTTGGTTGGTTGGTTCCTAGAAGAAAAAGTTAGGACTGCTCCACTGCTGGTGGGAGTGTAGACTGGTGCAACCACTGTGGAAATCAGTATAGAGATACCTCAAAGAACTAGGACTGGAAGTCTCATTTGACCCAGCTATTCCCCTGCTGGGTATCTTCCCAAAAGAATTAAAAGAATCATACCACAGTGATATATGTGCACCCATGTTTATAGCAGCACAGTTTGTAATAGCTAAAGCTTGGAAACAGCCCAAGTGCCCATCAACTGGAGACTGGATAAAGAAGATGTGTTTTTTTTCTAAAATGGAATACTACTCAGCCATAAAAAAGAGAAACTAGAGGCATTTATAGCTAAATGGATGCACATTGAGGTGCTACTCTTAAGTGAAATAAATAAGACACACATGAGTAAATACCGAATAGTTTCTCTAGTGTGAGAAACTGAAAGTGTAAATAAGGACTAAAAGCTACAATAGATAATGTAAAATAGGAAGAAAAGGGGCAAAGGAGAGGGGGAAGTGGGAGGGGTAGGGGAAAGGAAAGAAGGGAATGGAACTAATATGAGAAAATGAAAAACTGGAAATAAAGTCTTTGTAAATAGGGAGGGATGGAGGGGTTGAAGGGAGGGCAGGGGAAGGGGGAAAAATAACAACCAAGAGAGATTATGTAAAGGAGCAAAAACAAGAAAAAGTTCAGAGGTGGGGGGACTCGAAAAAGGATTCAAACAGTGGAAGAGAGTTCGAAGAAGTTATGCCCTTGTAGAAGCTTAAAGCTTTAAAATACATGGCTTTGTCAAAATAGCACGATTATAAGTAAAATTCTAAGTGTTGGAGAAAGACTGGAAATACATCCTCGGTAATGAATAAGAAGAGATGAAGAGAAAAAAAGAGAAACTTGTGAGCCCCCCTGGGCAGATCTAGGTCCAAGAGACAAATGGAGCCTTGAGGACAGGGACTGAGGGACCCACCGGGCAGCACAGTGTAGCACCAACCCTGGGAGGGGGCAGCAATGATCCATCCAGGGAGTCTTCTCATAGAGGAAGGGGTAGCTCAGAATCCACCATGTGGATTTGATTCTGACAAGTAATTTCCAAATTTCAAGTCAGAAGACTGGAACGCTGGTGTTGAAACTATGACCCCATCTCACCCAGAAACAGGTGCTTGATGTCAGACCAGGGCAGGGGGCAGCCCATTCACGCTGAACAATGGTTGTCAGGCGGGGTCTCCTGGGAGGGCTGACCCAGAGGGACCAGTCTGGGAGCCCAGCCTTCAGCACTAAAGCTTTTTCTCTTCCTTTCAGAGAAATTCTTGCTCTCTGATAAACCCTGAAGCCACAGTGTCTGTTAGGCAGGAAGACTTCAATGAATATAGCAAACATGGTGAAGACAGGAACATGATGAGAAATTTCTGGTCATTTTCAGGTTTCCATCTTCCTACCGGCTTAGCATGGGGCAGTTTTAACAATAAGCTTTTCCCTTGGCCCTTCTGATCTGATTCACAACCTCAAACATCTGTCTAACATAATCCTGGAAAGGATCAGGTACAAAAGTAAGTGTGGAGTTGAAAGACAAGGTTAAATTTATTGATCAATAAAACCCATGGGGACACTTTGGCTTGAGTTTGAAATTTGGGGGAAAATACAATCAATATCTAGGCCTCAAATCCCTCTTTCTGGCAACAGACCTTCTCTGGTTAGGTCTCTAAGAGTAGATAAATGAAAGAAGCTTCTCCAATTTTAACCCAAGGAGGAAAGGGGAAAACACCCTGCCTGAACAGAATAGCCGAACAGAATCAAATCCCTTGACCTTTGTCCTTTAGATGGTTACAAGTAGGAAGAAGAGGAGATTTGGCAGGGAAACGTTTAAGGCAATAATTAGGTAGTGGTATCCCGGAAGACAGATAGGGGACAGGAAGTGGCAGATTTCTAAGGAGTAAGACGCTCCTGTGCTCTGAGTAGTGCCTAGAGCTACACTTCTTTGTAGAACTGACCCTGCTCCAACACCATGTGTTATTACCTATGGAGATATATGTTTGCTGCATCCTTGGTCACCATGGGATTCTCCCTTCAAGAAAATACAGAACAGCTTGTTGACTACAGTGTATTATTGGTAAATACTAGACATGAAGGCTGCACCATTGTCAGCCCTGGCAGTAGAAGAGGAATTTACACAATTATGTGAAACATCCCAGTCCCATCAAAGGAGTTCTAAGAGAGCCCTTGAAGAATCTGGAGAATGTCAGAAGAGAGATAAAACTCTGAACCAGCTTTGATAGATGAGTAAGTTGTGACTAGGGCCAGGGAAGAGGAGCAGGCATCCTAAGTGGGGAGAGAGTGACACATAGCTACCTTTGGCAGGCCTACCAAGCTGAGGACAGCCTGGCAGGTGCCATTTCCCTCGCCAGAGTCTGCTGTGGAGATGCTATTCTTCTCACATGAAGGGACTGAAGTAACTTGCCCAGTGTAAACATCTGCATGTGAGAAAACCAAGGAGCACATGGGATGAGCTGACGCTTTAGAATCTACCTGTTTTCTAAAATGCCACAGAACAGGCAGAACAAAGCCCAGGGTGGGTTGGGAGGCGGTGCAGACTTGGGTGGGGGCAAAGCTGGGACTCAGATGGAGGCAATGTATGCAAATTCCCTTCGGACACAATTGGACTCGGTTTTCAGCATCTCCCGGGACCCAGTGAAGGCCTAAGCCAAGTTAGACCATGTTTGCCAGCCTGACCATGGTAGAGAAATGGGGTGAGGGGTGCAGCAGAGCAGGGCAGGCAAATCCTTACCCAGCCTGAGCCTAGCAGCTCCCAAAAGACATTGCAGCCAGCCGTGGGGAGCCACTGCCCATTCAGGACGATGGCTTCTGTTGCAAAGCCCAGGGAATCTGGACAAGGTGGGAGAGCAGTTAGCTGAGCCTTACACGTGGCTCTCTGGTCCCTGGATCTGGGGCTCTCCCAGACTGTCCTAAAGGGGAATCTGCCCTTCACTTTTCTCAAGGGGCCCTGAGGATCAACTTCAGGGCTGACACATGTCCATCTTGTCCTCCAAAGGAAAAAGACATAACCCTGCAGATAATCCAGGATCAAACCAACTCTGAAATCAAGAACCATGCAGGAACCTTCAAGGAGATACAGAAAATGTCCCCTCTGCTGCGACACGCCAACTACACCCTCCTGGCTGGAACCCCACCCAGGGAGAAGAGTGAGTGTGCAGGAGGGCAGCCGGGCCAGGGGAAGCTGAGGCAGGGTGTTTTAGGAGGAAGCATCAAAAGCCTGGGCCGAGCTGGCAGCTGGTGAGGACAGGAGAGCAGCTGATCCAGGGCTGTCTGGGGACAGGTGCAGGGGGCAGTGCTGAGCACATTGTCCTCCCACCTGGCCAAGTCCTGCAGCTGGCAGGGGGAAGGTCACAGGGACCTGTGGAGGAGCCTCCCAGGCAGAAGCTCATTCAGGGTGGGCCCAGGGAGAGGGAGGCAGGGAGAGCCTGGGCAGCTTGGGGGGGCGAGGGATTGGTTCATGCCTATAACCCAGCACTTAAAGAGGCTGAGAAAGGAGGATCACAGCTTGGAGCCCACACTGGGCAACTTAGTGAGACCCCTTCTCATTAAAAATAAAAGTGGCTGGGAATGTAGCTCAGTGGCAGACTGGCCCTGGACTACCAGTTCCTCGGGCCTAGACCTGTTCATCCTGTTCAGGGAGGTCCATGGGCCTGAGATAACTCTGAATGTCCAACCAGGCTAAGATGTTTTGCCAAGCCAGCTCACCTGCCTTGGTATGTGGTGGCCTCCCTTCCCCATCAGGGTAGCCTGAACTCTAGAGCTTCCCCTACACCCTTTCAACCTCTTCTGATCACATCCAGACCTCTCACCTGGGCCCTTCGCTCCCAGGGAAAAGACGTGCGCATTTGTCACAGGGGCTGCAGGAAGGGGAGGCCTGGGAGGAGAGTCCTAGGACCTCTCCACCGTCCTGAGGCACTAAGGTCCTTGTCTCCCCCAGAGCTACTAACGGTGGGGATCTCCTCAGTGCAGCGTCCCCATGGAACCTACCTCCTGGCAACCCTCCAGTCCCTGTTCCAAGCTTCCTCCACACATGACCTGGAGTGCATCGTGGTGCTGGTCCACCTGTCAGACCCTGACTCTGCGTGGCTCACACAGACAGTCGCCAATATCTCAGAGCTCTTCGCACCACACATCAAGGCCCAGAAGCTGCTCGTGGTCCATGGTCTTCTCGGTGGCTCCCCTCTGAGGAACGTGAACCACTCCTGGCCCTGCCAATCGCTTTATTCCAGGCAGAAGTTAGATTATGCCCTCCTCATGCACTTTGACAGCAACCTCTCCGAGTACTTCCTGTTGATGGAGGACAATGTCCGTTGTGCCCCCAGATTCGTGTCTGCCATCTACTGGGCAGTATTAGCCTGGAAGGAGCTCCCTTGGGTGATGCTAGAGTTCTCCAGCCTGAGATTCTCTGGGAAAGTTTTCCACACAAGTGACCTCACCCGCCTGACTTCCTTTTTCCTCCTCTTCCCCAAGTACACTCCCACTCACCTGTTTCTCTCTGAACTCCCTCTTTTCTCTGCTCAAAATGTCCCAATTCATTTCGGTACCCCCATGTTCTTCCACATGGGCAATTATCCTGAGTCTGAGGCTGCCTGCTTTCCTGCAGAGGAGGTTGAGGACTTTGGTGAATCAGACAACCCTGCTGCTGTTGTCTTCACGGACATGACGTCCAAGACAGACCTCCCACAATATGCCTATGTCCTGAGCGAGGACAGCTTTGCCACCTTGGATCCTCTCAAAGGCAACTACATGACAGTGGTTCTAGATAGACTGCAAAAAGTCACCCGCATCTTGGTGCACACAGGCTCTAAAATCAAAGGGCTGTACCGACTGGAGCAGGGGCAAGTACTGCCGGGCTATGACCACCTGCAGAATCACAAAGACTGTGCTCACTACACCCTTCTGGGGCCACTGGTGGCAGGGAATTTGGACCAGAGGGTGATCTATGAAGAAGATTCTGTGCAGGAGCTGAGCTGTATAAAACTGCTGGTATTAGCATCTCAAAACTCTTGGCTCCTGATCAGGGAAATCAAAGTCTGGGCAGAGCCTGAGAAAGAGGAGTATGAGTGGGCACAATGATTCGGGTAGGACTGGGTTTGGAAATGGTTTAAGGATGGATGAATAAATCTAGAAGCTGCTGAAGTGCTGCTCCTACTGAGTTGGGTGTTCATGCAATCACTACTCTAAACTTGGACTCTTTGGCAAATGAAAGGCAGTGTTTTTTAACAAGTACACTAGAAGCCCTGTTGTTCACACCTGTAGTCCCAGAAATCCAGAGGCTGAGGTGGGAGGATCAAGAGTTCAAAGCCAGCTTTGGCTCCATAATGAGGTCAAGGCCAGCCTCCACTATACAGGGAAACCCTGTTTCCAAAAAGCAAAGCCCAGCATGGTGGCACATGCCTGTGGTCCTAGCACTCTGAGGCAGGAACATCACAAATTCAAGCCTTGCCTGGACAATTAGCATCTTAGCAAAATCCTGTTTCAAAAGACAGAAAATTTTTTAAAAGACTGGGGATTATAGCTCACTGTGAAGACCTGGGGTTCAAGTCCCCCAAAAAAGGAAAAGAAAACAATACTACACTAGAAATCCTGGTGTGGTGTTATATGCCTGTAATCCCAGCTACTTGGGAGACCAAGCCATGATCATCACAAATTCAAGGCTAGCCAGGGAAACCTAGCAAGACCCTGACAAAAAAAATAAATAAAACAAAAACCTACACAAAAGATGTAAACAAGGAATATCCTGGGCAGGATAATATGTATGGCACCTTAGTTACTTCTTGTCACTAAGACATAGTACCCAACACAACAACTCTAAGGAAGAAAGGTCCATTTTAGCTAATAGTTTGTAAAGGTTTCAGACCATAGTCAGCTGGCTCCAAAGGCAGGGTGGCATGGCACAGGGGGATTGCAGAGAAGAAACAGTTCATGGCATGGATGCGGGAAGCAGAGATCAGAGAAGGAGGGTGATAGACCCTTCCAAGCCACATTTCCTGTGACCCACCAGGCTTCACCTCCCAACATCACATTTAGCTATAAACTCATCAGTGGAGTTAGGATCACACATTTTTTTTGTTTCTTTTTTTTTATCTATTCAGCAAATATTTGGTTGCATACTTAATGTTGGGTGCTGTTAAAGACAATATGAGGGCTGGGGATTTAGCTCAGTGGTTACGGTGCCTGCCTTGCAAGCGCAAGGTCCCGAGTTCAATCTCCGGTACCAAAAAAAAAAAGACAATATGAGTAAGCTGAACCAAACATGGATGACACTGGCAAAAGATTTAACAGTAAAAATCAGTAACTGAAATGTAACATAAACATTAACTCTTGGGGCTGGGCATTTAGCTCATTGGTTCCACTGCCTGCCTCAAAAGCTCAAGGACCCGAGTTCAATCCCCAGTACAAAAAAAAAAAAAATTAAATAAATGTTAACTCTAAATCGATGAACAAAATTGATGACTTTACTTATCCACTGATGAATATCACGCCCCCCTAATTCAATCCCCTCCCCAAATCCCCACCTATGAGTTCATGAGGCTTTGGGGAGACATCTAGATATGAACCATAACATGGTCACCCTAATTCTGAGTTTTCTAGACTATGTAAGAAAAATGACACCTTCTAATGAGGGGCAGAGACAAGCAGTATCTTTCTGGACTTCCAAGCACTAGAGAGGAGTCACCGTGAGCTGCCTTGGGTTTTGTCTACACACAGGTCCTTCACCCTAGGGCCTTGATGGAGTTAATACTCCCTCTAGAGTTGGCCGCAGCCTTGCCAGAACCATGGTCGTGGAAGAACTGACTTTGGTTCATATCGTCAATAGACCCAAACTTCCACTGTGGCAAAGTTGAGACCTTGCTGAAGCAGAGTATGCTGAGTTGGGTGCCATTCAAGAATGACTGTTTTAAATATCTACAAATATTCTATAATTGTGTGCAAAATTTGGTACTGGCTTATATGTGCCTTTTTCCTAAGGAGAGGATACTCTACTTTCATAGCACTGAAATGCTCCATATGTTCCTTTAAAAGGTAATAATAGCTAATCCAGCAACTGTGACATTTTAAGGGAACAAGCAATATGTTTCTTAAAGCATAAATCTTTCTATTTCCATTGGAAAATAAGAAGTTAAGATCACACATTTCTCCATTTCTTTTTTATCTGTTCAGTAAATATTTGGGTGCATACTTAATGTTGGGTACAAAGACAATATGAATAAGGTGAACCAAACATGGATGACATTGGCAAGGGATTTAACAGAAAAAAACAGTAATTGAAATATGACAAAATGTTAATTCTAAGTTGATGAATAAAATTGATGACCTTCAATAAAAACACAAATAAGGTTTTTGTCGTGTCTATTTTTTTTACATTTTTCCTAAGTCAAAAATATGACAAACTATTATATTTATGGCAAATGATATTTTTGTACAACCATTACCTTTTTATTACAATATTTATTCTCTTATTTTATTAGAAACAGAATAATGTCATACAAGACCACGTGCACATCTCAAAAAGGATAAAGCTGGTGTGTATCTGTAAACCTAGCTACTCAGGAGGCTGAGGCAGAAGGAATGAGAATTTAGGGCCAATCTGGGTGTCTTAATAAGAATCCATCTCAAAAAGCAATTAAAATATAGTAAAAAGGGTATTTTGTTTGTTTAAAACAAAGTCATGCTATCTAATTCAGACTGGCCTCTAACTCCAGGCAATCTTCCTGCCTCAGTCTCTGAAACACCAGGATTATAGGCATGTGCCATCATGTCCAGCTGGAAAATTCAAATTTAAGAAAAAATTTCCATATCCCTTGCAATTTAGGTTGGCCAATAAAATGAAAGGAAAAAAAAATTCAGTGGGGCATAGTCAGCTAGCAGAAACCTTTTCTGTATTGTTCTGATCATCTTTAGCTTGTTGTTTCACTATTGTTTTAATCAGAAATGCTTGTTATATTTTGTTCAGATTTTCTAGCCTTCTTCAGTGAGAGGGTTGGTTCAAATTACCTAGTTTATCATCATAAAAAGCTTTTATGTGTGACTTGAAAAGATCTTGAAGATAACATCATTAAATGAAAACTATAAAGCTTCAATACAATACATTCAAGATTATTCATTCATATATCTTTATCCAATGTAATTACAAAAAGAAGCTACAGTGATTTCTGTTGCTGGCGTCTTGTTTGACTATGAACCTTGTAAAAACAAAGGGGATGGGGCTAAGTGGTAAGGCACTTGCCTAGCATTGTGAGGCCCTGCATTTGATCCCAAGTACCACAAAAAATAAGTAAATAAAAATGAAACAAATCCCCAGCACTAGAAAGAAAATAAAACCTATAGTACCAAAGGACTACACACTTAGCACAGAACACTGGAAATAAACACAAGCCACAAAATAGAACAGAAATAAAATTTACGTATTTCAATATTTGTATTAGTAAAGAGGGGGAAAAATCCTCCCTGTAATCCCTAACACACATGATTCATTTGTAACCAACCAAATTAACCCTGTTGGGGGCTCCCAAAGATATCCAGGAAAGATTACATTCTAAACTGGTCACAACTCCAGTTGTTAGTGCCCCCAGGGCACCTGGAAAAAGTAAATGAAAATCTTTTGGAATAATCTAGGACTCAAAAAATCTCTACAAGGCCCCAGGGATGTAGCTCAGTGGTTCTGGCACCTGTCTCGAAAGTGCAAGGTCCCGAGTTCGATCCCTGGTACCAAAAAAAAAAACAAAAAAAACTCTACAAAATTCTAAAGACAAAAAAAAGCCCTCATATAAAAAAATCAGAAAACCCACAGGGAAATATGGTTCTATTATGAGAATCAGAAGAAGCAAAACAAAGCAAATAATAATAATTAATAAAACCCCAATCAGAGTTGAAAAGACTTCAAATGCTAAAATGACCACAGGATAAAAAGTAACCATTAATATGTTTTCAAAAATAAAAGCCTGCTTTGAAAATATGAGTAAAAGTAAGTAACAAAAAGGACTAAGAATATTTAAAAGGACTAAGAATATTTTAAAATAACCAAATAGGGCCAGGGATTTAGCTCAGTGGTTCTGGCACCTGCCTTGCAAACTCAAGGTCCTGAGTTTGATCCCTGGTACCCAAATAAATAAATAAATAAATAAATATTAAAATAACCAAATAGAACTTCTAAAGGGGGGGGGAAGGTAATAATTGAAATGTAAAATCAATGGGTAAGTGACTTTCCAGTCCCCCTCTGTCTCTCATAGACAGAAACTATCTTTCTGTCAATAAATTCTTCCTACTCTTAAAAAAACAAAAAACAAAAAAACGACTTCAACAAAAAGAGGGAGGTGGCAGGCAGCGCTTTGTCCCAGAGCCTGGACTCACAGTGTGGGAAGGCAGTCAAACTTGCAGATGCACAGTGACTACTGATGACTCCAGAAGCCTCCACAGAGAAAGGTATCAGTGGAACAGAGCAGTGGACGCAACAAACTGCAGTAGCTAGAAATCAGTGAGTTATTCGGGTTCAGACATCACCCAAGAGAGGGCGATTGGCTGGTAGTCATCTTGGAAAGGGGCCAACTGAGCTCGGAATTTAGAACAGCTACAAGCCAGCTTCATCTAGTGGCTCCCAGTGTCTCAGTGTGGGTGCTGGATTCAAGTCAGCAGGAGTTCAGAGAGGGAAGTTCAAGTCGGAAGGAGGCACATGGATCGTGACAGACTCAACAAATATAGTCCCAGCCTTACAGCCAGAAATCAGCCTGAACTTCAGTAGAACTAAAGGTCCAGGCTTGCTGGGATTATCTACTACTCCACCATAAATCAATGGCTGGCTTGCTGGAATTAAACAACTCAGATCTGGACTTTGTCTCCCCTTGTTGAGACCCAGCTTGAATTGGATTTCTTTTTTTCTTTTTCTCCTTATTTTCTTCTTTTTTTCTTTCTTTTTTTCATTTCTTTTCCTCTTTTCTGGTTTTTATTCTTGTTCTGTTTTATTTTTTCCTGACTGTTCTTGTTTTTACATGAATGTGAACACAGTTTCTAGATTTTTTGTTGTGGTTGTTCTGTTCTGTTCTTGTTTTTCTTTCTCTCTTCTCTCTTTCCCTCCTGTCATCTTCACCAGTTTCCCAGTTTGTATGATCTTCCTTTGCCCTCTAGCCTTGCTTCTAAACTCTTTTTCTATTTCTCTATTT